TTTTTTTTCTTCTTATCGTTAGATACATTCGGACTAAATTATGCTTATACTAGTGATTAATCTTTTTTTTGATTTGATTATAAATAGATCTTTTATTTTGAGATTAAAAAAATTATTAAAAATTAAATAATNTTTAAAGTAAAAACGGAATAAGGGCATGCGAATTGGGCCCCGTACCCGACACTCATGCGACAGGTGACGTTTGTCATCTGTGTGAGATAGTGAGAGAGGAGAGGGGCTTTGTTTGGGTTAAAACAAGATGGGATGGCACTTCATTTTATTAGGGTGTCTGACCTATTCAATTTTTTTTTCTTCTTATGGTTAGATACATTCGGACTAAATTATGCGTATACTAGTGATTAATATTTTCTTCGATTTGATTATAAATAGACTTTTTATTTTGAGATTAAAAAAATTATTAAAAATTAAATAATTAATGGTTTGATTCTAAATAAATTGTCAAGTTTCAAACGTTGAATGTTTAAATTTACAGTTCATTTTATTTTTATTGGGCTACCGTATCTCTTGAGGTACAATTTTTATTTTTTGTTAACCTCCAAACATAAAATTCTAATAAATATTTCACATAGAACAAAGGGAAATACAATATGAACATAAAAATTGGATTTTATAATTACAATTGTTGAATAGGTAGTAGGTCCCAATAAATGTTAGGACTCACAGTAAAATCAATAGTTATNTTAATGGTTTGATTCTAAATAAATTGTCAAGTTTCAAACGTTGAATGTTTAAATTTACAGTTCATTTTATTTTTATTGGGCTACCGTACCTCTTGAGGTACACTTTTTTATTTTTTGTTAACCTCCAAACATAAAATTCTAATAAATATTCCACATAGAACAAAGGGAAATACAATATGAACATAAAAATTAGATTTTATAATTACAATTGTTGAATAGGTAGTAGGTCCCAATAAATGTTAGGACTCACAGTAAAATCAATAGTTGTAATTATCAAGTTTACTTTTAAAATCCATATAACATTGTTGTAGAACAAATGAGCCTTCTATTTCTATGAACAAATATGAGAAAATTACGAGTCCTATTTTGTTTAAATCTGTAAAACAAATTTTTTTATTTTCGAATATGAAAAACAAAAGAGAAGTTGTTTGTGCAGCAAAACTTTATACTAAACTTTTCAATGGTTCCAACATTTATTATGACTCACTACCTATTCAATGGTTGAGATTATCAAGTCTAATTTTTAAATCCATCTAGCATTACTCTTTCAAAAATTGGGAGCAAAAAGTCAAAATCTTAAATAACACTAATAATATGTTTTCGCCTAGTTTGAAGTTAGTTTTGAAAAAACAGGATTTATTTTATTGCCTTTATTTTATCATTCTTCATACCGAGGGAAAGAATGACATCTTTGTTGCATGCTCAATTTTTGAAAGTTAAATTTTTGTTGATTAAGATTTCTTCATGAACCTTCAACACTTATCCTCTATCTTTGGATTTTTTTTTTTGGAAAAATATCATGGGTTAATTTCTAGTATCAAATAATGCAATATTGAGAATTCTGTAAGTAAATTTTGCTCCTCCTCATATTTTTATAATACTAGTTAAGAAAGAAATCTATGCTAACACATCTCACTCCTGGTGCACTCCCGTGCTCCTTTTCAAAAGGTTTTTTTTTATTAAGGAGTCCATTCAAATTATATCCCTTATTTTTATTATTTTTTAAATAACTATTCAAACATGTTTTACTATTTTTTATCTTTTAAAACTATGTTCAGAATCGTATAACCAAACATTTTTAAAAATATCAAAACTTTTAAAACACAATTTTTTAAAACTATTTTCAAAAATATATTTTTTAGTACTATTTTTTGAGAACATGTCCAATACCCTAAAATTATTAGCAAAATATGTTTGTACTAACCAGGTTGGGCCTAGGCCTAGGCCTAAGCCACTTAGTTGATCGCTTAGGGCTCCCAATTTTTGCAAAATTGTGGAGTCCCCTGTTAAGAGTTTTAATTATGGGTACATGTATTTTGGATGAGCTGATTTGAGATAACCCAAATTTTATTGATAGGTCCATTAATATTTAATAATTTACCTAGAAAATTTCGCCACTTGCTAGCTATAATAGACCGTTGGCTTTCTAAAACAAGAAAATTAGACGATTAGATCTTTCTTTCTCTTTCCCTCTCTCTCATCTGTTAATAAATTAAGTAAATCTCCCTACATCACTACGCCTCTTTCACACAAATTTATCAACTGCTATTATTATAGNTTTTTTGAGAACATGTCCAATACCCTAAAATTATTAGCAAAATATGTTTGTACTAATCAGGTTGGCCCTAGGCCTAAGCCACTTAGTTGATCGCTTAGGACTCCCAATTTTTGCAAAATTGTGGAGTCCCCTGTTAAGAGTTTTAGTTATGGGTACATGTATTTTGGATGAGCTGATTTGAGATAACCCAAATTTTATTGATAGATCCATTAATATTTAATAATTTACCTAGAAAATTTCGCCACTTGCTAGCTATAATAGACCGTTAGATTTCTAAAACAAGAAAATTAAACGACTAGATCTTTCTTTCTCTTTCCCTCTCTCTCATCTATTAATAAATTAAGTAAATCTCCCTACATCACTACGCCTCTTTCACACAAATTTATCAACTGCTATTATTATAGAATTCATTTACAAACCACCATGTCTGTTTAACGCCACTCCCTCATGCCCTCTCTCTCTCTTTGTGTGAAGTGTGAAGTCTGAATTTGAATAAAGAAAAAACATCAAAGCTCACTATTCTCTAATCTCTTGTAGTTCAAAAATTTATCAATTAATTGATAGTGATTAAGATTCAAGGTTCAAAATTTTTTGGATATAGGTGGGAAATGTTAAAAAATGATTATTTTTCTTTGGATAAAACTTTNCACTACGCCTCTTTCACACAAATTTATCAACTGCTATTATTATGGAATTCATTTACAAACCACCATGTCTGTTTAACGCCACTCCCTCATGCCCTCTCTCTCTCTTTGTGTGAAGTGTGAAGTCTGAATTTGAACAAAGAAAAAACATCAAAGTTCACTATTCTCTAATTTCTTGTAGTTCAAAAATTTATCAATTAATTGATAGTGATTAAGATTCAAGGTTCAGAATTTTTTGGATATAGGTGGGAAATGTTAAAAAATGATTATTTTTCTTTGGATAAAACTATGATTTTTAAATTTGTTTACTAAATGTTGTAAATGATTATTTTATTCAGAATACGGTTTTGAATTAGATGTTCTGCAATTGATAATTGAAAAAATAATAACTTAATAAAATAAAATTATACACGTGACACATTTTTTTAAGATAAAAAATAAAAAATTAATAAATTCTTGGGAAGGAGTGTTACAGTACTAAAGCCCTAAAATTTTTAGACTACAGCCTGAAATTTAGTTGGGCCCAGTCTTATTTTCTGCCCCAATTGTAGTTGTGCTTGTACCCATTTTTATCTCTAGAGTCCTTAGAAAACCCTAAACATGAAAAGTCGTGCAAACCCTAAACGACATCGTTTTGTGTGTGAAAAGATATTATTTTGGAGAACAACACACGTTATATCGGAAAAGGATCCTTGCCCGTACTGGTTCATATTTTTGTACTTAACTGATTTTTAGCTTGGTAAAAAAATAAAAATAAATAAATATTCCTAAACTTGTACGACGCATACAGCCAAAGCGAAGAGATGAAGGAAGGGAAATAGNAAAACCCTAAACATGAAAAGTCGTGCAAACCCTAAACGACATCGTTTTGTGTGTGAAAAGATATTATTTTGGAGAACAACACACGTTATATCGGAAAAGGATCCTTGCCCGCACCGAGCCGAGAAAAACAATACCCAACTAGGTACTGGTTCATATTTTTGTACTTAACTGATTTTTAGCTTGGTAAAAAAATAAAAATATTCCTAAACTTGTACGACGCATACAGCCAAAGCGAAGAGATGAAGGAAGGGAAATAGTAATTTTTGAGATTGAAACTTGAGGGAGGGGTCATGGTTCTCGACATGCTTTGGTCGCTAAATGTTACTAGCTTAGGTTTGATTTGACCCACATTTGATCTCAAAACAACCTATTAGGATTCAAACTTGTATCATCAGCTGTTTGGGACAGCTTCATCCTCCATTTTCTTCTTGAGATAAGTATTATCTACAAATTAAGAAAAATTCAATTACCAATCCTGCCATCCAAACATATCCAAGTGGTGTTTGGATCACCACGATAGAATTGGGTTGGAATTGAATTTGAATCCAAATCTAATCCAACTCAATACAAAGTGGTTCGATTTGAAAGATTCATAATGTAATATATCAAATCCTATCTCATCTTTTGATAAAAACCATTTGATTTAAATATTTACCGTAAATGATATTCTAGATATTTCACATGTAAGGAGATTATCCCTTTCAAAACATACGGGCAATGAATTCAAAAACAACGAAAATCCCATGTCAAAAAGTTTCCCAAATCAAGGATATGTGAGATTCATTCACCATTTTAATCTGATCCCCCTATAATCTCCCCCGAATCTTTTGTTCCAAACACCCCNGATTTGAAAGATTCATAATGTAATATATCAAATCCTATCTCATCTTTTGATAAAAATCATTTGATTTAAATATTTACCGTAAATGATATTCTAGATATTTCACATGTAAGGAGATTATCCCCTTCAAAACATACGGGCAATGAATTCAAAAACAACGAAAATCCCATGTCAAAAAGTTTCTCAAATCAAGGATATGTGAGGTTCATTCACCATTTTAATCTGATCCCCCTATAATCTCCCCCAAATCTTTTGTTCCAAACACCGCCTGAGAGGATAATTTTAGTCTCACCGGATTATTTTGGGTGGATTGGTGGGGGGTTTGGGATTTTTTTTTTGGGGGGGTTTTGGTTTTTTTTTTTTTTTTTGAATCTCAAGTGTATGTGAAGATGTTGATAACCTCAAAACATCAACAGTCAAAGCAATACTAAAAACTCCGGCAACTGGATAAACCAAAAAAATGATTTCCTAGAAAGAACATGAAAAAAAAAAAATTCATGTCACATAACTGATATCCTTTTCCTAATACTAAGTAATATTCTGACCCCTACCTAAACCATTTCCTAATCTAAATAAAGATCCTACTTTGTACACAGAATTTTCACCAGCATAGAATCTAAGTAGAATTTGTACACACAATCTTTCTTCACCAGCACCCACCAAACACCTCTCCCTTCCCTTTGCTCCTCCTGCCATTGCTTCTGAATTGATGTGTGAGATAGAGGGCTCGTGGTACCTTCTGCCCACCCTTCCTCATCTGCTCTGAGAACAGTGTGAATAGAGACTTGGGAGAAATGGATAAGAGAGTCCCTTTCATTCTGAGCCATCAAAAAAATAGCTACTCATAGGAACGAATTCAGGCGGAGGTGACATTCCGCAGTCTGCCTCAGTCATTGCTGGCTCCTGGAAACCTTTGTTTCTCATCTCTATAACTCTCCTGTGGGAGTTTGAGTGCAAAGATGGAACAAATGTAGGACTTGCTGCCGGCCGATACTCTGGGAAGAGACGGCCAGACCGGTAGCGAACTCCACATGCATTGCAGAGGGTTTTTGGACCCATAGGTCCCTCTCTCCATTGTGGAGTCTTTGTTACCTGGCAATGTGTGCATTTTTTGGTTGCTGGTCGATGCAAGGAAGCTTCATTTGTCTCCATGGCATCTGATGTAAGACACAGTTTCTTTTTGCCCTGTAAAAATGAATTTTGTTGTCTCTCCATGGCACCAGTTAGCTGCGAGAGTTTCTTCTTCCTCCCTTTTCTTTTTTTCTTTTCAGATGCAGAAGCAGCAAAAAGAATAGGAGACATCGCAAACCATTGGCTGAATGTTGAGGCTCTTGAACGCTTGGTTCGAGGAGCTCCTGGAAGATATCTGATGGACTTGCTCTTTTCAACTGAGCAGGAGCTGCTGTTGTCAAGGACAGAAATTGGGCTAGGTGACTGGAACACAGCTGACTCTTTCCCATCAGAAGAATCGTTTTGAAGGGGAATGCTTGTGCTGGAGGTTTCTTCGACAAATTTGGGCTGCTGACTTAGCTTTGGTGTTCCATCATTCTGAATTACAGACCAGTTAGCAATTGAACAGAAGATCAGAGAGAGAAACATATCACATACCAAAATTTTTTTGATCAAGCTATTATGGTTGTACCCACATTCCTACCATATGCATGCAGATTAAATTGAAAAAAAAAAAAAACAACGCAAGTTCTGGGATGTACTGTCATACAGATTAGTGATCGAAGGCATGATGATCACTCTCTGTTGACCAGAAGAGCAGCCATTGGCTTGAACATATAAACAAATGAACAGCCTTCCTCACCCAATTACAACCAAAAATCAGGACAGCAATCAACTGGATGGATTCAAAACAAGCTTTTAAGCAGGGATGTCATGCCCCTTCTGTCCAAGAAAACTAATAGAATAACCATAGTTTGATGATACATCTCAAATTGAATGAATGAAAATGCTACAAGACTGATCAAAGAAGAATCAAATTAATCCAGTGTATATGAATTCTATGGCGTCACTGAAAGACTCCCTTTGGAAACAAAATAAATTATACAAAACAACTAGTAGAACAAGACCTTGTCAAAGCTCGCCACCGCAGAAAGGAAATCAAAGCTTGGAAAGCCCACAATTATTTCTCACAAGACAATCTTTCTTGTAGAAGAGAGATATTCGTTTATTCAGTATTCTCTTTTACAAAAAGAGCTTCTCCTAGACATGGAAACATTGGATCCACCCCACAAGGTAAACTATTATACCTGCAATAACCCGCTAACTACAAGTGTTTCACTAAGAGTAAAACACAAGTTGTTCAATTTCATGGTTTGTTTATTCATTAGTGGGCCATCCACGTTGGACTCTCATGTTTTCCATGCCACATTTTGTTCCAAATGATGGCAGACCCTAAAATTTTTTTCCTCAAGCTTCATATGATAACCCCATAGCCTAACTACACTTTTGACTTCCATGCATTCCTTTCCAGTGTCAATGGCATTTTTTTTTAATAAGAAAATAACATCTTTCACCAAAAGGGAAGAATACAAGGGTTTTGAACAAGAATCCAAGCATTGGTGTTTGGTACATTAAAAGAGAAAACTAGAATTAGAGTAATATAACAACATGCCACTTGTGGACAAGCCACTATCCAGGCTTGTCTAATAGGAACAAAGTGGATATCCTTAAATTCTTTATTAGCCAATGGCCGTAGAGTTTGAAAGTTAACATATCTACTTTTCTTAGCCCTAGTTTTTCATTTGACAGATAGTCAGGAGGAGTTTTGCTGAACTGCAGATTCAACATGTGTTCAGAGTTTCAACAAAACATCCGGCTCAACATCACATATTAAAACCAAAATGCAAAAGTTCAGGGATTTCTCTTTAAGAAATAATAATGAACTTAAAACCAACCAGGAGGAGTCCATTGTTCACTTTGTATAGCTTAATTCAGGTTTTGTTGCCTTCCAGTTACCCATAAGTTTCCAACAAAAAAAAAACACTAAAACAATCAGAAGTGCACCACAAACTCTTGGGAGAAGGGGACTGTGGGGCTCAAGAAATCGAACATTGGGGCCCAAAAAAATAAAACAAATTTGAAGGTATTTCCTTCCACCTCTCAATATATGAAAAAATGTACTCAGAGTCTGTTGGTTCCTCAACACGACACGATACTCCCAATCATTGTGGAATGTATGTCCTCTCTTTACAAAATAATGCATTAGAGGATATACCCCCCTCGGAGTATTCCAGAACGAAACCACTCATACTTAAACAGAAGAAGAAGAACCAAGAGTACTTAAACAGAAGAAGAACAACCAAGAGTACTCATACATAAGATAATAGCACCCTGTACAACACCCACTCCGCATGTAGTATGTATTATATTACGCATATAGCCAATACACAAGCCTTTCACTCAAAAAGGATTATTGTGGGGGCAATATATAGAAAACATACAGGAATAGAAGGCATAGGTTGCATATCCAAAGTTCCATCTCCGTCCTTGCCTTGGGAAACCAAGGGTGATCCTGATAATACTTCAGTTGGAATTGGCCCAAGTCTTTGGAACTTTTCAAACCAATCTTCACCTTCGCCATCACCTTCCAAACTTTCCATTGGCATGTCAAAAAAATTGAGCATGTGATCAATGGAGTCATCCTCACAAATACCATTGTCAAATCCACCAAAATAGTCAGACCCAATCATACTGGTTTTCTGAAACAAAAATAACCCAAAAAACGTAGAAAAACAAAATAGCAAGTCAAGGTTAAACAACAGAGTCATACTCCAAGAAGGACATTGAAAATTATATTCGCAACTCAATATATATAAGCACCAAGCATTGAACGAATCCTATTGGTTTANATTTTGTTCCAAATGATGGCAGACCCTAAATTTTTTTTCCTCAAGCTTCATATGATAACCCCATAGCCTAACTACACTTTTGACTTCCATGCATTCCTTTCCAGTGTCAATGGCATTTTTTTTTAATAAGAAAATAACATCTTTCACCAAAAGGGGAGAATACAAGGGTTTTGAACAAGAATCCAAGCATTGGTGTTTGGTACATTAAAAGAGAAAACTAGAATTAGAGTAATATAACAACATGCCACTTGTGGACAAGCCACTATCCAGGCTTGTCTAATAGGAACAAAGTGGATATCCTTAAATTCTTTATTAGCCAATGGCCGTAGAGTTTGAAAGTTAACATATCTACTTTTCTTAGCCCTAGTTTTTCATTTGACAGATAGTCAGGAGGAGTTTTGCTGAACTGCAGATTCAACATGTGTTCAGAGTTTCAACAAAACATCCGGCTCAACATCACATATTAAAACCAAAATGCAAAAGTTCAGGGATTTCTCTTTAAGAAATAATAATGAACTTAAAACCAACCAGGAGGAGTCCATTGTTCACTTTGTATAGCTTAATTCAGGTTTTGTTGCCTTCCAGTTACCCATAAGTTTCCAACAAAAAAAAAACACTAAAACAATCAGAAGTGCACCACAAACTCTTGGGAGAAGGGGACTGTGGGGCTCAAGAAATCGAACATTGGGGCCCAAAAAAATAAAACAAATTTGAAGGTATTTCCTTCCACCTCTCAATATATGAAAAAATGTACTCAGAGTCTGTTGGTTCCTCAACACGACACGATACTCCCAATCATTGTGGAATGTATGTCCTCTCTTTACAAAATAATGCATTAGAGGATATACCCCCCTCGGAGTATTCCAGAACGAAACCACTCATACTTAAACAGAAGAAGAAGAACCAAGAGTACTTAAACAGAAGAAGAACAACCAAGAGTACTCATACATAAGATAATAGCACCCTGTACAACACCCACTCCGCATGTAGTATGTATTATATTACGCATATAGCCAATACACAAGCCTTTCACTCAAAAAGGATTATTGTGGGGGCAATATATAGAAAACATACAGGAATAGAAGGCATAGGTTGCATATCCAAAGTTCCATCTCCGTCCTTGCCTTGGGAAACCAAGGGTGATCCTGATAATACTTCAGTTGGAATTGGCCCAAGTCTTTGGAACTTTTCAAACCAATCTTCACCTTCGCCATCACCTTCCAAACTTTCCATTGGCATGTCAAAAAAATTGAGCATGTGATCAATGGAGTCATCCTCACAAATCCCATTGTCAAATCCACCAAAATAGTCAGACCCAATCATACTGGTTTTCTGAAACAAAAATAACCCAAACANGCTTAATTCAGGTTTTGTTGCCTTCCAGTTACCCATAAGTTTCCAACAAAAAAAAAACACTAAAACAATCAGAAGTGCACCACAAACTCTTGGGAGAAGGGGACTGTGGGGCTCAAGAAATCGAACATTGGGGCCCAAAAAAATAAAACAAATTTGAAGGTATTTCCTTCCACCTCTCAATATATGAAAAAATGTACTCAGAGTCTGTTGGTTCCTCAACACGACACGATACTCCCAATCATTGTGGAATGTATGTCCTCTCTTTACAAAATAATGCATTAGAGGATATACCCCCCTCGGAGTATTCCAGAACGAAACCACTCATACTTAAACAGAAGAAGAAGAACCAAGAGTACTTAAACAGAAGAAGAACAACCAAGAGTACTCATACATAAGATAATAGCACCCTGTACAACACCCACTCCACATGTAGTATGTATTATATTACGCATATAGCCAATACACAAGCCTTTCACTCAAAAAGGATTATTGTGGGGGCAATATATAGAAAACATACAGGAATAGAAGGCATAGGTTGCATATCCAAAGTTCCATCTCCGTCCTTGCCTTGGGAAACCAAGGGTGATCCTGATAATACTTCAGTTGGAATTGGCCCAAGTCTTTGGAACTTTTCAAACCAATCTTCACCTTCGCCATCACCTTCCAAACTTTCCATTGGCATGTCAAAAAAATTGAGCATGTGATCAATGGAGTCATCCTCACAAATACCATTGTCAAATCCACCAAAATAGTCAGACCCAATCATACTGGTTTTCTGAAACAAAAATAACCCAAAAAACGTAGAAAAACAAAATAGCAAGTCAAGGTTAAACAACAGAGTCATACTCCAAGAAGGACATTGAAAATTATATTCGCAACTCAATATATATAAGCACCAAGCATTGAACGAATCCTATTGGTTTAAGTAACTCTTAGGGAAATTATCTAATAAAAGGAATAGAGTACTACGTATTCAAATCCAATTCAATACTTTCTATGGAAAAAAAAAATCGTATTGAAGGGAATCTCAATCCGATTATTAGTCTTCAAACGTTATCCAAATTGGGTACTAATGTCTAGATATTTTGGTAAGGGATAAAGTGACCAACCTCCCAAAATCTTTGTCTTTTAAAACTTATACCATAAAAAGGACTCTACTAGGAATCTAAAAGAATCTTCTAATTTTTCTATGAATCTTTCAATTACTCTACTAACTATAATAAAGGGTATATCTTTCCACCGACGAATTCATATTTCCAGCTCAGACAATCGTGGGTCAGCAAAAATCTTTGTGGCCCATAGCAGTTGTCATATAGAATGGGGAACGATAATTAAACCACGTGTTTATCTGTCCAAACAGTGTTTTTCCAGAAAAAATTACGACGTCGTTTAAGGGTGCCTTCTAGAATCTTCCCAGAGCAGACGTTTGCCCTAACAATCCAACTAGGGCGGCTGGGAAAACGTAAGAAAAGGAAAGAAAATAGAGGTCGTGAGAAAAGGGTTTTGCATCATAAGAGCACTGCATAGATAGTCCTCCAAAAACCAAGCATAAGGAAAGTAAAGGGCTAAGCGTTGTCATTTTTTCTTCAAAAGAAGAAAACCCAGAAAACAAATGCTGAAGAATCATTAGTTTATTTCACATTTTCCTCCATTTTCTGAGCAGCCAAACGGAGGGCAAAGAGGAATGCATTCAGGATTCTTCCTGGTTGAGACCACAGGTAAAAATAACACATGAACTCAAATTTTTTGAAGAGAAACAGTAAAAAGACGGTAATGAGCTTTAAAGGGCTGTGACATTAGGAAGCAAACCTTATATAAACCTTACAGACAACAGAGCAAACCTCGTGCATGAACATGAATGTGCACTCACCATTTCACAAGTCAAAGACCCCTTAAACCCTTTATGGCATTGAACTTTCAGAAGATTTTGGAGAGATAAGGAAGAGAGAAAGGGATGCAGAGTACAGGAAAAGAAGCAAAAGATAGTAGATGGGGTGGAGTAGATAGAGAGGTGCCTTTTTGTACTCTGTTATCTCTGTCTGAATTGTATGTGATTTTAGGCTTCTNTTGAACTTTCAGAAGATTTTGGAGAGATAAGGAAGAGAGAAAGGGATGCAGAGTACTGGAAAAGAAGCAAAAGATAGTAGATGGGTGGAGTAGATAGAGAGGTGCCTTTTTGTACTCTGTTATCTCTGTCTGAATTGTATGTGATTTTAGGCTTGTGTGAAGAAAGGAACAAAAAAATGTGTATACAATTTTGGTCAATGGATTGATAGGCTGAGAAGGTGGAACAGGGTACTTTATAGTGGTCCGTGGAGTGCCTGAATATTTTGGCGGGAGGGGCAACAGATAGTCTGGTGTCGAGAGTGGGACCGGTTGGTGTAAACGTTATCCTTGTGATGATAGCTGTGTGGGGTCCAGCTAGTATTGGTCCTTGTGACTTGAAAATAAAGGCATTCTTTTCAAAAAATATTTACCTCTTTTTTCATCTTTTTTTTTTATCAAGTTTTTTTTAATCTTTTTATTTTGTTAAAATAGTGGTTATTTTTAATGATCATCGCGAGAACGGTAAAATACGTACAAACAACAATATTATTATACGGGAGGTCATGTTAAATTATGAATTTGAATGTCGTCGTCATTAACTCTTATACTACTCGACAAATAAAAAAAAAGTTATTTTGTTCGTAATGAAACCATTCTAATCATGTCTATTTGCAATTCCATGAGGACATCTGACTTGCTACACTTTTAAGGATTTGTAAATTAAAATGCTTCATTGAACATATTTTGCCTTAGAAGTTCTTGATTGATGCCATCTGTGTAGTGTCCCTTAATTGATTNGATTGATAGGCTGAGAAGGTGGAACAGGGTACTTTATAGTGGTCCGTGGAGTGCCTGAATATTTTGGCGGGAGGGGCAACAGATAGTCTGGTGTCGAGAGTGGGACCGGTTGGTGTAAACGTTATCCTTGTGATGATAGCTGTGTGGGGTCCAGCTAGTATTGGTCCTTGTGACTTGCAAATAAAGGCATTCTTTTCAAAAAATATTTACCTCTTTTTTCATCTTTTTTTTTTTTTTTTTTTATCAACTTTTTTTTAATCTTTTTATTTTGTTAAAATAGTGGTTATTTTTAATGATCATCGCGAGTTCATGTTTGAGCGAGAACGGTAAAATACGTACAAACAACAATATTATTATACGGGAGGTCATGTTAAATTATGAATTTGAATGTCGTCGTCGTCATTAACCCTTATACTACTCGACAAATAAAAAAAAATTATTTTGTTCATAATGAAACCATTCTAACCATGTCTATTTGCAATTCCATGAGGACGTCTGACTTGCTACACTTTTAAGGATTTGTAAATTAAAATGCTTCATTGAACATATTTTGCCTTAGAAGTTCTTGAGTGATGCCATCTGTGTAGTGTCTCTTAATTGATNTTTAAGGATTTGTAAATTAAAATGCTTCATTGAACATATTTTGCCTTAGAAGTTCTTGATTGATGCCATCTGTGTAGTGTCCCTTAATTGATTTTTTTTTTTAAATAAAAAATAAAAATATACCCATTTATCATACAATTCTCTTTTACTTCATTAGAAACCTTTTATACTGAATATGAAACATATTATAGATGACCCTAAAACTATACTTTTAGTTTTGAGAATACCTTTCTACTTTTAATTTTAGTAATTCATCTCTTAAACTATGTAAAGCGATGCATCAATCTATCCCATCCAATATTCTATTAGAATGAATGAAAAGTTCAAATTTATTTCGATTTTTCAGTTAAACTTCAATTTTTATAACTTTTTTCGCTTGTCTTGACAATAGATTTAGAAAGAAATAGCCAATTGCTACACTTACATAATTTAACGAGTAATATAAACACATGAAAATTAAAAAAAAAAAAAAAAAACTTTAAAACCGGAGATATAACTAAAGGACCATATGTAACATTTACCCCCTTTTTTTATGGGGCTGTTTGGGATGGGAGGTTGGCAAGAGGGTGGGTGAGTTATCAAATTCCTGAGAAAAAAACAGTATATTTCACCATCTAGTCATACACTTGAAGGATGGTTTAAAGTACCACAACCGAAAGAATAACATTGTACATGATAGGGATATAGTTCATATTGCTTAAAGCTCAAATAACCACCACCCTAACTGGTCTGCAGAATTTAACTAGCTCTCCATCCATACAAAACCAAATATCTAAACACATAAAATCCGTAAAACAGAAGGAAAAGAAAATGAAAAAGAAGACGCAAAATTGCGAAGAAATTGTAGTGCTTTCCACCTTATAATGATTGCATATGTTTACAAAATTGCCTGTGTTTGGCTTTCAACACAAGTAGGCATGAACATCTGCCATTAATAATAACACTCATATTTTAAGTTTCGATGTTCTTCTCCTTGCGTTTATAAATAGAAAAATGAAAAGAAGCAGAAACACAATGGAAATGGCGAAAGAAAGGACTTCCCAAGAAAATGCCCCATATGCATTGTTGAACATGTTCTCCTGCCTCACCTGTAATTTATCAACATAAAACAAATCAAGTTACCAAAAAAAAAAATCACGTGCCATTTGTTAAAAGCAGTGTGACAAGATTTAAGTCATTATAGGGAAGTAATATTTTTTATCTTAGGATGTGAATTTATGATGGCCAGACAAGCAAAACAAGTTGTAGTGATTTTTGGATTTCACAATGAAAATATTAAGCGCGTCATGGATAAAATTTTTAGTCAAGACTCTGAAATAATAATCAATCAACTACGATTTTTAACTAAGTATCAAAACAGTCAAAAACCAAAGGTAAAAAAGAAAAATCGAACAGTCACATATAGAACACACGGCATAGCTCATCTAAAAAAGAAGAGGGGGAAAAAAGCTATGAATTATAAGTAAAGAGTGTCAACACTTCAGGTTTAGCAAATTTGAAGATTTCGTGGACTGTTCTTGATCTACCAACCACCCTTATCGCAAGCAACAATGGTAGCTTCTCAGCAGGTTGTAAAACAAAATGAGCTAAAGGTTGGACAACGACAATAGCTACTACATTGCGGTGACATTTACTACATTTTAGTCAACATCTCAACCATTCAAGCACATACCCCACTGTTGAAGGCAAAGTTGGTTTAGGGTACCACAACCACTAACATTGAATTAAATCTTTTTTTCTCTCATAATTAACCTTACAGCACATTTCAATTTAAGTAATTTACCACTCACATGGAATAGGTTCGAGTGCAAAAAATGGATGACATGAAATGGAAAAGTTTCAGTAAAGACACCACAAGTTTCAAAGTCCTGATAAAAATGGGCACTTACTGCACCAGCCAACTTCTGCAACATATGCCTATGTTGCTTTGCAAATATGTCCTGAGCATACTTATAGAGCTCCACATCAAGGCTGTTGAGCGATGTAATCTCCTGGAGAAGCCTCTCAGGAACCTGCCGACGTGCCTGTAAAATTTTAAAGTTCACAATGTTAGCAGCAGAGAGCAGGACAGTTTGATTTCTGGCGACCACCTCTTTCGAGTGGTGCAGAGGCTTGAAACAATTGCCAATGCATAACACTGTATATCATGCCATCATATTGCAAACAAGCATGCACCATACAATGTAAAAATCCTCTCATATCGCCAAGGTCATAGTAATAATAACTCTCTGCGTTGATTGCAAAACCAATGATATTGGGTCTAAATAAAGAGTGATACTTCGTCATATCCCCCACCCCCAACCGACCCCCACAAAGAAACCACAGCCCACCACTGTTTGGTTGACCAAGAGAGCAGCCAAGAAAATTAGTTTCAATAACGTTAGGATTGAGATTGAAATACGGTTTTGGACCAGATACATAATGGTTTTTTAGATGAGGACAGACAGTGACACCTCCTATAGTGAGCAATTTCATGCATACTTCAGTTAGAGCGTCCCGAAATTGAAGAAAAGGACATGAAACACATATATCTAATACCAAAACCGCCTTCCAATTTAAGAACACACAAATAAAAGATTGATTTAGACTAGTGTATGGTAGGCTAGAGGTACGCTTGCTTATCCAAATTTTTTTTTTGTATGATAGCTTAGCTCTCTCTACTTTTTGCTTAAACTATCGTGTTGTGTGGATGGATGGGATGTGGTTGAGCCTATCTCTTCTCTTCTCTATCTTTCTTTGGCATACCCTTTCTATCCCTTCAAGATATTAACCCAAAGGTGGACCTTACGATTGCACCCTACTATAGCATATCCAGGACCAATCTCAAAGTCATGTCACTAAAGTAAAACCAAACATAGAGAAGACTCTTTGCTGCAAGCATGAGAATGGCTAGTGAAGAAACACATAGTCAATAGTCTTGAAAAGAAATTCCCACATAAAATCAACCCTGAAAAAGAAAGGCCAAATGTTTCTGCGTTTGTGCAAGGACAACACAGAAAAATGCCTTTTGGTCCAAAGTATCTGAATTTTCCTGGCTTAAATCTGCATCTGCTGAAAAAGCATTGAAAATTCAAAACACATTAAACTCCAAATCTCTTTTTAAATACCCCATCAGGAGGATAATGCTCATTATGGAGAAAGTCACGAGTTCGCAACCAAGAAAAAAGAAGTCAAGAAGCAAACTACAAACCCCGCACAATAGATGATGGAAGAAGATCGAGTAACATAATAAGTAACTCAGCTAGTTTTTGAAGAAATTGATTGCAGCAATACCTCCTTCGTAAAGTTTGCTGGGGAAATTCGCTTTAGAGAAGCTGTGCGACGTAGTGCTTGGGTCTTTCGTAAGCTTGAAATACAGGTCTCATAAGCTTCCATAAGTTTTCCTGCTGTCATCTGATATGATGATACAAGGACTCTTAGTCACAAGGCAAGCATGAACAGTGACAACATTATAATGCAATGTGGGCTTACATTTTCCTTTTTTGCTTCAACATTTTCAGCAGATAAAATTTTCCTTGGCTGTTGGTAAGTGCTGCTATTCTGTTTGTGCATGCAAAATGAGGTACCATGGAGGCGGCTCCACTTGATATTTCAAGCATTGCAATTTATTGAAAAGCAGAAGGATGCCACTTATTATTTTTTTTTTCCAGAAGCAGAAGGATGCCAAACTATTACCTGATGATCACTGATCTCAGACTCCTCGCCATCTGGAAATGAAGAGTGCTGTTCTGCGGCACAAGTAGAGATGTTTGAGAAAAAGCTATGATCCCATCACATCACTCACACTATGAATCAAATGACATTAGAAAAGAAATTTGACGACTTTAACACGTTCACTATGGAATTCTTTTAAACATTACACTTCTTTTCTTGCCATGTTTTAAGAGTTCAGAGATAAAGCAATATCTCCAGAAATAGCTGCACAGAAGCCCATAATGCTTCATTTCCGCAAAAAGCAATTTCTTTGCCCTACACAAGTATTAAAAAAAGTCCTATTGTATATGAGCAACCAAGAAAGAAACCTCGTCACGGTTATTAACAGCTGAATGCAGAGCTACAATGGAACCACAAAGTTATGCTATGTCTAGAGTTTGCAAGAAAGGGGATTCATTCACCCTTGCTATATTTTCATTTTTGGAATCATCAACCTCCAAAACATGATCTATCACTTCATCCAATCTTGATATTATGCAAAGAAATTCCATATGGGGACTAAGCCCGATATCTAACTGGGTGGGATTGACCGTGTAGGTCAGGATGAGGAAATAGGGATGGGGTATAAACACAATACACCGTAAGTCTAAGATTGCATTCTTCTGGCCAACTATAACCAAAGACTGTCATATAGTATGCTGCATTCAGAGAAAACTAAAGAAAGAAAATCAAAAAAAAAAAAAAAAAAACAAAGGAAAAGCAAGGAGACAAATACAGGTGCCTGCAAAATAAGTCCAAAGCCTACTACAAACA